GCTCAGATCATGATCTCAGGGTCTGAGATGGAACCCCGCGTCGGGCTCTGCATGTGCACTGGGTGTGGAGCCTGCTTAAGATTCTCTCTCTCCCTCTGTGCCCCCCCCCTAAAAAAAACAAAACAAAAACAAAAAACCCTCCCAGAAGCCTTACCCAGTTGGGCCTCCATCTTTATCTCTTTGGTCAGAATTGGGTCTCCCAGGAAGATGAGTTCGTGAGTCTTTCCATTTCCTTCTTTTATTATAGAGGACAGTGAGGGCAAAGAGGGTTGGGACTGGCTTTGGGGTGTCTGCAAACATCACCTATTATTATTCCATCATTTTCTCTCTTCTAGCCCCAGATTCCCAATCTGTCAAATGAGTGGCTTCTGGCTAGATCTCCCAGGTTGCTCCCCACACTTACATTCTCTTTAAAGGCTGTTTCTATCAAAACCCCAAGTATTACTGTAATAAACTCTGTGCACACCACCCAGGCCCCTGGGTGTGGGCCTTAGCCCTCCAGCTCGTGGGAGCACCGCCTGCACCAGCCCCCAGTTGTTACCCTGGCATAAGAGCTTCCTTTCCCAAGGACACTCACTCCGTCCCTAGGCAGACACACCCCATGACTGGTCGAGCCAGGGCATAAGGCCTGGCTCTCCCACCCTCAACCTGGCAACTCTGAAACTCTGTGCCAGTTGCAGAGCTCCCCCTGGGGTGGGATACAGCCTCTGCTGAGCGTGCACTGCAGCTCAGCCTCCCCCCTGCACACTCCCTCTGCCTTCCCTCTCCTCTTCTTCCACAGCTGCTGGACTTCCTGCCTGCTAGTCTCCGAGTCTGTTTCCTAGGGAACCCTAACTGCAACAATTCCTGAAAGATGTTCCTGAAGGATCCTATTCCAGGAGGAGCAGAGGTGGTCTGACTTCATGTCAGACCCCCACCTTTGCTGAAAACCTCACTGGCGTCAAGCATTACTAGGGCTTAAATATCTGGAAGCAACAACTAAAAAATTAGCCTAAACGAATTTGGGCTAAATTGGGTGTTCTGAAAAAGATGAAAATCTAAAAAGAGAGATTCCAGGAAAGCGATGACATTGAGACCAGGCCCTGGTCATTTCCTAATAGAAGATGCAGGATATAAACACATTTCTATTAACACAGGCTAATAAAGTCCCTGAGAACCTACATAAATTAGTTTCAATCTATATTTATATCAATCTCTCTATCATCAGCTTTTTTTAAGTTTTATTTTATTATGTTATGTTAATCACCATAATTACATCATTAGTTTTTGTTGTAGTGTTCCATGATTCATTGTTTGCGTATAACACCCAGTGCTCCATGCAGAACGTGCCCTCTTTAATACCCATCACCGGGCTAACCCATCCCCCAACCCCCTCCCCTCTAGAACCCTCAGTTTGTTTCTCAGAGTCCATAGTCTCTCATGGTTCATCTCCCCCTCCAATTCCCCCCTCTTCATTTTTCCCTTCCTGCTATCTTTTTTTTTTAACTTATAATGTATTATTTGTTTCAGAAGTACAGATCTGTGATTCATCAGTCTTACACAATTCACAGCGCTCACCATACCACATACCCTCCCCAATGTCTATCACCCAGCCACCCCATCCCTCCCACCCCCCACCACTCCAGCAACCCTCAGTTTGCTTCCTGAGATTAAGAATTCCTCTTATCAGTGAGGTCATATGATACATGTCTTTCTCTGATTGACTTATTTCGCTCAGCATAATACCCTCTAGTTCTATCCACGTCATTGCAAATGGCAAGATTTCGTTTTTTAGCTTCTTAGTCAGACTTATGCTTCAATTCCAGCTCTATTATGTAAAATCCTGTCACCTTGAATAAGTTATTGTCTTCTCTGAGACTAAGCTTCTTCACCTCCAAGGATGGGAAGGGGGTAAGTGAGAAAATATAGAGTCACATGCTTATATAAATACTGGCTCAGAAAATGCAGTTGATTATGGCAGCTCTTCACACTGGTACCTACATGGGAGTGATCAAGGGGAGTTTGGATAATTTTTTTTGTCGGGAGTGCTGGAAAAGAAAATGTCTATCTTGGAAAGGAAGTTGATCTAGATTAGTAGTTTTTAAATCTTTTAAGCAGAATAATTATTTTTCTTTTTTCAAACAAAATCTTGCAAATAAAGCAAGGATTTAAAGTCAGGATTTTATTAAGCAAAATTTTGTAAGTTCAAGGATATAATGGCTAAAAATAAGTCAGTGGGATCTAAAGAAATTATTAAGATGAATAGGAAATTTTGAAATCAAGTTATGGATGGCAGTTACAGACTTGATGGCAGCATTTAATTTTTTTCTGTGAGTTTTTTGGTTGCACAGTACTGAAAAATCTTGACTCATACAGGCAAACAGTTTCAAATAAGAACAGTTTAGAGCAACTCAGCCTGCAATCTCAGGATATTTCTCAATTAAATTGTGTTGATGGGAGACTTTTATTCCAAGGTCTGCAGAAAGCCAAATTAATTTGACTGTGTAAGTCAGTGCATTGGTGGTCTTTGGTATGTTAAAATTTGAAATATAATGTTTTTGAGTGTAAGCATTGTTCTTTATTGCACTTTTATTTTTATTTATTATGTTCAATTAGCCAACATATAGTGCATCATTAGTTTCTGATGTAGTGTTCAATGATTCATTAGTTGCATATAACACCCAGTGTTCATCACATCACATGCACTTTTAAAGACTAGTTTAAAATTTTTTTTGAAAAATGAAATTAGAATCAAGCATTTTTGGAAGCCCTGGGATTCCATGGAATACTACAAGATTTGATGGAGATTCTATGCTTATTCCAAATGCTTAAATCTATGATTCTTCTTCTGTCATTGGCTAGTTAGCACATCTGCCAAAGGTCACTCACCAAGACACTTCTCGCTGTCCACTGAGTGGGTTGAAAACCCTGCTGTACGTTTGCTTTATCCTCTGGTGACTTCTAATGATAAGGCTGGGAGGGTAAAGTGCTCCATGCCTGGCACAGAATTAATGCTCCATTCACAGTTGTTAACATGAACGACCTACTTCTCACCACCAGGGGTGCCCAACAACCAAGCAAACAACAACTCCGCAGGTTAGAGTTTAATGAGGGAAATAAATCAGTGTGTTGGTCAAGGTAGTAGCTATCTGGATTAGCAGCTAAGTCACTATGCTTCAGTAATGGCTCCGGAGCCTGCAAGAAAGCCACGAGGATGGAGGAGGGAGGCTTACAGCCCAGGTGGATGGTGAGTTCAGCAGATGACACTCAGCTGAATTCCCTCCTCTGGTTTACACAGCCTCAATACCAGTGACAGATGCAAAACATCCCTCCAAAGTGAGTGAAGTTTATGTCCACTTTTATGACTCATTTCTTTGGTACCTATTGCTCTCTTATGCAATATTGTAGGCATACAACAAACTCCTTGTAAATAAATGAAAACCCAAGTCAAATCAGATCTTCTTATTCTAGGTTCGGCTACTGGAGCTGTCAGAGTTCAGATCAAATCCCCACCCTGCATCAGACAGGAGGCGGACCCCAAACTAAGCCCCTGTCACAACCCTGGGGCAGCTATGTTGTCTTAGTTCTGGAAGGTTGCTCATTCGGGGTCTATAGTACTACTGTCCCAAATAATTCCAACAAAATAGAGAATGTCCAAAATATAAATATAGATAGTACTGACAAGATGTACCTTTCATCATTAGTTGTGTGTGTGTGTGTCTGTGTGTGTGTGTGTATGTGTGTGTGTGCGTGCGTGTGTCCACATGAGTATATACATGTGTTCTGCTGCATTCAAATGCCTGGGTCAGGAAGCCGAACTGCCCCAATAACCAAATGACTCACTCCCCTAGAGCATGAATGATGCTCAGCAGTGTGGGAGCAAGGAGCAAACGTTGCCCATGACAACCAAAAGCCATCAGGGTATTTCAGAGATCCAAAATGGCAAAGCACTATTGAGTCTTATTGAGTTTTTCTTTCAAAAACAATTGACTGTATCATTTTTTTAAACAGTCCAAATATGTAATTTTCATTCACACAATTCCTCTTGTGTTCTATCACACTGAAACTTCAGAAACTTAAAAAAAATCATGAAAATTTTGCTTATTCTTTACTCCCTTGACTCAAATTTCCTTAGCTCAGGAAAATCTTTTCTCTTTCATTTTCTACTTGAATAATAACACATTGCACAGATATTTTTGGATGCTAATCTGTACCTAATGGTTAATGACTCTTCTTCAGTTTCAGGAGAGAGGGTGTAACGGGCACTTACACAGGGGAAACATTGTCAAAGCTGCTGTTCCATTCATTCTCCAGCTCGGTTGTGTCCCCATCCCCAGATGTGCCTCCTTTAGATGCTTGGTTTTACTTTTTACACTTCTTATACTGTCCTGTACATACAAAATATTGATTTCTGGCCCAGTGCTGGCTCTCATTTATTTCTGATGAAGGCATGCCTACCATCCTGTTTTTCTTGTGCTTTTCCTCCTGTCAACTGGAATGACTGATTCTATTTTGAACGCCTTCCCTGTTCCTTCTTCCAGTAGAAAGACCTCTCATGCTTAACAATCATCAACACTTCCTTAGCAGTCTTCTGTGAAGTGACTCCAAACCTACAATGACCTTCTCTGAATCTCCGCCAAAATTACAGTCAGTTCACACATTCATCAAGGAGCACTTTGATCAGCAATCCAGTACTGAATTCCTGCTTGCCCCACTGACCTCTTAGCTGCACCTCCGCTGTTCTGAAGTGAGCCGCCATGTTTGATAAATGTCTCTTTCATTTCCCACAGAACTGAGCACCGAGTTTGATAAGTGTCTCTTTTATTTCCCACAGAACCCTTCAACGTGTACTGATCAACCTAACCAGGCCAGCGTTTCCACTTCTTAAATCTAAAACTCCTCCTGGTGCGATTCACTCTCTGTGGAGCTTGGCAGGGCATCCCAGACACCCTGACGTAGCAATCTGCTCTCTCGTCATGGCTGTGGCCCGACCTCTGGAATAGACTGTCATAGCTCCTTACCTGGATTAAAAACTGGAAACCAGTGGTAGAATTCGTTCTTGTAGGGAACGGTGTCAAACTCACTGCACTGCATCTGCCGGAAGGTGGGCGTGTCCGGGCGGCAGGGGTGGACATTGCACAAACGATAGCGCTTCCTTTCCCCGGTGCAGTACTTCCCGCCAAACTTGGGTCTACGCAGGAAACAGACAAGCTGTTCGTTTCGTTTCCTTAAAGGCTACCATTATTCCTTCAACATTCCTTGCCACCTGGTCATGCCTGTTCTTTGCCAAACCATGCCCTGCTCCACCCTCAAAACTCACCTTTTACCTAAATTCTTCCAATTTTATACATTTTTTGGCTGTTGCTGTTGCCCACGACCATTCAGTCCCAGGTCTATAGTGGCCTAATTTGAAACAGTGTGTGTATCTTTTCTGCTTGTATATCCTCCCGGCCTCTCAAACTCAAAATATACGCCGAGAAGGGATACATCATTTTCCCTCCGAAATCCGCTCCTTCTCTAATTCCTGTTTAGCAAGTTAAAAGTGGTCAGACTGCAGAAGCTTCCATCCTTTGCCTTCCTTTCACCCCACTGTCCATCAGCTGCCCAATCATCAGTCATGTCTTTGCTTTTGTTTCCTCCTCCTCATTCCCACAATCACCAAACTAGTCTAATCCTTCTCTCTCCTCCTGTCTCCCCTCTGCCCATCTTTGCCCTCATTCAATCTACTGTATGCACAACTGGCTAATTTTTATGATTACCTTAATTACTTTAGTTTCTTGTTTAAAAACCTTTCGTGGCACCCAATGACCACAGAACTGAGTCCAGCCTCTTCAGCTTAACATTCAAGGCCCTCATGATCCTGACTTAATTCATCCTAACAACCACTTCCTACCAATGCTTTCAGGACCTAGAATAATGCTTTATCTCCATTATGAACTCTTCCTGGATTTCTGCCAGGAATAAGCTCTTTCTCCCTTTCAATGACACCTGATTGTTCCTACTGGATGCACTTCCTGTCCTTATCACTCCAAAACACAGTTCACTGATGATCCAATCCAAGCTCTATGTCATCTATGGTCTCTAAGTCATACTTGGAGTACAGAAGGCTCTTAATAAACATTCAGTCAATAAATAAGTTCATCTTATTTTAGAATAATCCTTCTCAACCTTTTATTTCCTTTACAATACACGCCAAGGGCAATAACAACCTTCCCATCAGGATCAATTATTCACTCAAAAAGGGAGGAGGAAATATAGCAGAACTGCTATCACAGAAGAGGAAGAACTCCCTGTCCTTCAAGAAAGCTCCAAGCAATCTATGTATGTCTTCTTGTCTCCACCTCGCTGCATCTGAAATCAGGAATTGTGTCTCCTTTTGCAATGCAGCATAATGGGCTCAAATAGCCTAGGGTTTGAATTCTGCTTTACTTTGTATTATTAGTTAGATGATTTTGAACAAGTTATCTTATTTCTCTGGGCCACAATTTTTTTTATTTGTGAAATGAGCATAATAGTTCTTATCTCACAAGATGGGAGGACTGAACGAGACAATGCATAAAAATTTAGTAGAGTAGCTAACAGAGTAAGAGCTCAGTAAATGACAGCATTGTTGGATTATTATAAATAATAATCAACAAGTATTTATACAATGTACTCAACATCATTTCCAGGGAGGACAGAGTCCAAAAAAAGGTCAACCCATGCCCTGTGTCTCCTAGAAGCTTATAATCTTGAGGAGAAAAAAAAAATCATCTATATAATAAATAAGAGAAAATTTAAGAGCAATTATGTATCCCTGACTGTAAGTACAATGTGAGTTTGAAGAAGGAAGAGAATAGTGGAAGACAGGCTGATTGGAAAGAACTCATGGAACTGTCCTGGAGAATGGACTTAAAGGATGGATGGAAGTGGCTTCTCAGTGCAAAGGCAGAAAGCATGCAAGTGAGCAGCCTAAATGAAATAATATTCAAAGGCACGGGAAAGTAGGACATCTTCCCAAAGTGCCCAGCTGACAGTGAGAGCGCCAAGATTTAAACCCTTATCTGCCTTAATCCATAGCCTGAGCCCTTATCCACTGTTATATTGCCTGACCATGCAATCTAAGGGGACAGAGACCTCAAATCTTGGCAGTCGGGTTCATTTCTGGTTGCAGTTGTACTTCTCATGAGGTTCTGCTGTACTTTGCTCTCCTTGAACACCTATGAGATTTTTCTATATTTCCCTCCCTCCCTTTCTCAATGTGGCTTGAATAGGCTTCTGTTCCTTGAACATAAAAGAGCTTTGACAGGGGCGCCTGGGTGGCTCAGTCGTTAAGCGTCTGCCTTCGGCTCAGGTCATGATCCCAGGGTCCTGGGTTCGAGCCCCGCATCGGGCTCCCTGCCCAGCAGGTAGCCTGCTTCTCCCTCTCTCACTCTCCGAGCTTGTGTTCCCTCTCTCGCTGTGTCTCTCTCTGTCAAATAAATAAAATCTTTAAAAAAAATAAAAAAGAGCTTTGACCAAGGCAGTTCACCTTCACTGACTCCATGTAAAAGGTAGTAAGAATTGTCCATGATATGTGAGGTTAGATCGGTTTTCTATTCATGATGATAGAGTGACACTCTATGACTCAGCACCTCTCCAGTTCATTTCCATCCAACAAACATCACTGAAAGCCTTTTACAAGCCCTGCTGGCTTCTCACTAGACACCTGACCAACATCAAGGGCAGAGTCTCAATGTCAGCTGATCATGCACTGACCTGAATCTATAACCTGAAGCACACAACTGAATCTGAGGCTGTTTTTCCATTGTCATTGTTTTCAACAAACTTAAGCAAACCAGCTACTGAGATCAGACATGGTCACTCACCTGAGAAGACTCTATGACAAACTGTGGTCTCTAAGATGGGTGTTAGAACCATTTTTCTCATGAGGCCAAGTTAGAGATTCATCCTACAGTTCCTCAACAAAGATGTCCCTTTCTGACCACCACAGATTACTGACCATCCTCCTGAGAGGCTGTAGACAGTGGTGGCTGAATACAAAGCACTAACAATAGGTCCCAGAGCAAATCGCCTACATTTCCTGATCTCTAAAATGGAAATCATATTTCTTATCCCATTGAAATAACCCATAAGATGAAGATTTTCTGCAAAAATAAGAAATCCCTGGTTTCTAATTTTTGAAGCCACAGAAATCTTGTATTTAAACAAAAGCAACTTTTATCAAAGAGTAAGATTTAAAAACAGTTTCATCCAAATTCCTCAAAGGTACAATTATATGTGTGGCAAATGAGAAAAGATGTAATAACTACTATAATACCTACCATTTATCGACAATTTAATGTAGTAGGTATTGTGTTAAACTATATATATTAATTTAATCTTTAGAAGAAATTTATTATGTACTTTTATTAAATATATATACTGTATGTGTATATATACATGCACACATATATACATAGAGTAATATATTTATTAATAAGAAGGAAGAGTAATATTTGGAACTGAGATACTGAGCAGATTGTAATCACATTTATCATTTGCCAATAGAAAAAAAGAGAGACTCTTACTCTTCAGTACAGACTAATGAAAATCTAAGCAAAAGAAGCTTAACATATTTTCTACTTACCAGAGGCATCATATGTACACTTCTTAAAAATTTTACTTGGGAACTCATATACCAGGAAATAATGAAGTTAAGAATGTCACATATATTTGGGGGGCACTGGGTGCCTCAGTCAGTTAAGCGTCTGCCTTCAGCTCAGGTCATGATCCCAGGGTCCTGGGATCAAGCCCCACATCAAGCTCCCTGCTCAGCGGGGAGTCTGCTTCTCCCTCTCCATCTCCCTCTCCCTCTGCTCATGCTCTCTCTCACTCTCTCTCAAATAAATAAATAAAATCTTTTTTCTAAAAAATGAATGTCATATATATTTAGAAAGCAAGAGAATTTAAATTTAATTCATATATAGTATCATTATACAAATTTAAAATAATGAAAAACTTAAGCACTTTGATTAAAAAATTGAAAGCCTCTGTGAAATAACTGCTATGGAAACTTTAATATGGCTAATATAGAAGCTTAAGGTTCATAAGATCTTTATCTAAAACATTCAAAATAATTATCCTCAAAAATGTACTATTTTATTAGTTACTTAAGGGAAGAAAATTATTTTTATAAAATTAAACGTTCATTATGATTGAAAGAAAGCTACAGTCTATGAGCAAAATTGAGTATTAAGTAATCTTTCACTGACGGAGTGATGTTATCTAGAAGGATTTCACTGCATAGTCTCCTAAGACCTTTCACATAGATTATACTCTTGCAAATTTGCTTATTTCTCCAAATGACGGCATCAGCTTACTTATCCAAGTTCTAGTAAGCATCCAGTGCCACACCAAAATGAAACAAAACAGAACCATGTTTTTAGGAATCTTCTGGTTCCCTTTAGTCTTTAGGAGCCCACTGAATTTCTCCTAGGAGGCTTGGGCTCACTGGCATCCCATTATCCAAGGCTGGTCTTCGGCGCTCATGGAAGGAAGGGAAATAGTTTTGGCCAGACTTACTCAGGATTGTTGCAGAGCCTCTCTGCACTCTGGGCTCCAGCCCCACAGGTCCTGGAACAGTGGGACCAGGGTGACCAGCGGCCCCAGCCCCCAGGAATGCTCTCTGGTTTCTTCCCCACTGTGATACACTTGCCAGCCATACACCACTAGAGAGGGAAGAGGCGGGAGATGCATACGTCATGAAGGTTCCCATAGCAAGGTGAGCCAAGAACCCCAGGAGTCTAAACCCAATTCTCCCGGAGCAAACAGGCTTCCTATGGTCACACAGCATATGAAGAACAAAGAAGGGCTTACAAAAAAATGTCCCCCAAGAGTCTTGGGTTTTAGAATCAGACAATGTCAAGAACCAAAGGGAACTTTATGCTGCCTTGTTGCAGTCAGCCAATTCGGTGCAGTTGGCAGAAGGCATGCCAGAAGGTAAATCCACACACCGCTTCCTTCACTGAGACAGTCTTGCTATGACATGCACGGCGGCTCAGTCTGCTTAGTTAACACAGTTGTTTTGTAATGTAATTGATTTACTTTTTGCTGCAAGCTCCTTATCTTGCTGCAGACCATAAACAGACATTTTGCAGACTGACACTGAGATAACATTTCTCTGTAGCCTCTATGGGTATCTCATGTCTGCAGCAGATACCTCATCCTCTTGCAAAGTCCACTCATTGCCAAAAAACACTAGTTGAAGTTCTTTCTAATATCAAGAGCAATTTTTGCTTCCCTGTTAACTCTATCCGTTGTTTGCAGTTCTAGCTGTGGCTCAGAAAAAATTCCGTCCTCTCTCTTCAAGGCCATCCTCCCACAACTGTCAGTTTAGGAAGGCGGACATACAAAAAAGAAAGAAAAGAAAATGCAACTTGGTTGTTTGAGGATTTGGGCATGTTTTCTCTGCTGGCCTCCTTTTCCTCATTATTTCTGGTCACTGTGTTTTGTGACCAAGTTCTATAATCTTGGTGATAGATCATGCCACTCTTAAGCTGCATAAAAATACACATTAAATGTCTGGATCTTAGGCTCACAACAAACTCAGCTGGTCTTGTTGAGCAGCACACATGACCCTGCCCTCAAGCTGTCTGCAGGATTTCTATCATCTGAATTCTTGGGTGTCTGGCTTTCCTCCTGAGTTAAATGGGCAGAATTTCAAGAAGTGTAGTCCAATCGGATGATGAGAGCGAGGATAACAAGTGGCTCAAATGCAGCATGTTTGGAAGGCAGAAGCCACTGGCTTGCCTTTTCAGTTTTTAACATGGAGGGGGGAAGAAGTCAAAATGAAGGGTGATAATAAGCTCAGCAGATGTTATTGGCCATAAATTCTGCAGACGTTCATCAAGAAAAGATGGGCCGGATGTTTTGCAAGTGAAGTGTGGGACTGGGCCTCAGCCCTCTCTCCTTCACTGTTTCCAATGAAAGCTCAAAAGGCGTCATGGAAATAGAATCCTTCTCCCTGGCTAGTCTGATTGTGTGACCTCCATTCACCCAGACAGCTGCTCTCCAGGGCCCTCTCCCCATTCCTCCCAAGAACCCTGGGCCCACCCCCCCACCTTCCTTCCTCAGCCCGACACGTCACCTTCTTCTCACCACATCGTGTCCCATCTGCAGCGGCATCCAGCTTAGAGCGACAAAAGCCTTTCACTGAGCACCACAGGGTCTGACAGACATTCTGGAAAACAAGTGTGAAACTGTACTCTTTGGGATTTTCAACACTTGCACAAAAGCATTTCTACAGGGATGGTGAAATATACACTTGGTCACCCACAGACTCACAATGATGCTGCTGTTGGCAGTGAGCAAGAGTGAGAAGAAGGGCTCATTTGAGAACTCTCGATTCAAACTTAATTTGGGCTTTGTCATCATTCATACACAGTGGTATGGTTTACTAAGCGATAAGAAAATAGGAGATAAAACACATTTCCTAGGAATGGAGACTAATTTCTATATAGGTGACACAGCATCACTGACCTCAGACAGGGTAACTGGTGACAGCAACCATCAAGGGCCAAAGCAAACTCTGCACGAAGGACTCTGATTACGAACAGTTGGGTGGTTATAACTTGAGCCTGCTCACTGAAGGAAATGGAAACTATTCGACTTAGACAGCCTAAGCTTATTTACTTATGACTCAGAGTAGCCAGCTTGTTTTATCTGCCAGGGAGTGAAACGGGTCTTCCCTATTGTTTCTCCTCCTACAGTAGGAACAAGGGAAAGTTGGTAAGATTCTTAACATATCATCAGAAATGGCTCCGCTGCTCCTATCCACCTTTTAGTCTTTCTTCTATCCACCCATCATCCATCATTCCATCTATTTAACTGTGCTCTAGATTCAGTGTTTTTTAAAATAAGAATTCATATTTTTACACAATTTTAAAGAATTCTCAATCTTGATCTAAGTTTTGCCTCTCCCTGATTACTGCTGTTCTCTCCTGGAACTCTTAACTGTTGGTCATGAGCCTTCCCATTCTGTCCTTCACATCTCAACTTCACTTTTATATTTTGAACTGTCCACTTTCTTGTATATTGAAGTTGAAAAAGTCTGGATTTCCATCATGCAACTCTGGGAAATACTCAAGTGAAATGGGAGGTAATTTTCTCAACTCTAAATTCCAGCTGATTGATTTTCTCTTCAACTGTGTCAAGTCTGCTGTCTAACCCAAACACTGAATTTAAAATCAGTGACCATATTTTTCATTTCTAGAGGCTGTAACTATTTTTCATATCTACCTTACAAATATCTTCTAGTGTATTTTTCCTTTTCTCAAATGTAACTCTTCTTTTATGCATTCATTTTATTATCCTTACCTAAAATATTCACTTATCCTAAGTCACTGAGGGTTTATCTCTCCTCACTTAGCTGTAGATTGTTTTAAATTTTGAATTAGAAGACAAATGATGAATTCATCTAATCAGAAGCTTTATCTATTGGAGATTTTTCTGCATCTTAGCTGAGCATTGGTTTCTCCAAGGCAGGTTTTTAATCTTTGTTTCTACCAGGTGTCCCATGGTTTTACCAGGTCAGAAATATGTTTATCTTAAATTTTTTTTGGCATAAGCGTTCTCTGTTTCAGGATTTCTTTTCCTTTAGTGTCTACAGTTCTTGGTTTACGCCACTTCAAAGAATGAAGAGGAAGATCAGATGAAGAGTGGTGGACAGCGGAACAAAGTTTATTGGGGATAGTACAAAGCTCCCGAAGAGGGAGGGGACCCGAGAGGTTGCCATTTTGGTGTTTAAATCTAGGGGTTTTTATGAGATTGTTGGCGGGTTGTCTTCATCTGATTAACCCTCCATGCGCCTGTCACCCAATCAGGTTTTTGTCTACATGCTCATCTACCTCTCAGGTAGTTGTTCACATGGGAAAGGGTAGAGGTCTCCTTTCAGGGTGGTGGAGATTAACATGGGGTCTTTTTCCTTTTAATGGTAGTTTTCCCTGGGGGAGGGGGGTGGGCCTTGCCCCCATCTGCCTTTCTTCCGACTATACATTACAACCACACGAGAGTATAAATTTGAACTCAAAATCAGTGAGGCTGGCCTGTGGTCAAGTATTTGTTAGTGAGAAAGTTATCTACCAGCATCCCTCCCTCTCAAAACCCAAGCTGAGATAAAAGATGCTTCTCTGCCATCTTTACCTTTGTTGCCAATGAGTTCTTCTAGCCCCCCTCTCCTCAAGTCCCCAGCTTCGTGTAAGGGTCTCACTTTTAACTCCCTGCCTTGCTCCAGGGGCGCATGTCATCATTTGTTGCCACTGGATGTTAAAATTAAGGTGTTCTGGTTTTCTCCCCGTCAGCCTCAACATGCTTATCACTCCCTTCTTTTAAGTTTTTTCCCCCCCTGAGGATTTTTTTTAAACTTTCTTATAATTTCATTATGCATTTATAAAGAACTCGGTAAAGGGTACGCAAACACTCTCTGTACTGTTTTTCCAACGTTTTTTGAGTTGTAAACTGTTTCAAGATAAAAAAAAGGTTTTAACAAAGAAGGTTAATATTGTATTCTCTGGTATTTTAGGTTTTTTTTTTTTCTTTACTGAAAAGAATTAGGTTATCTTGGCTGCAATATGCAGGAATCTGAAGTCTTCATTCATTTATCTCAAGTCTTCATTCTACTTATCTATGTGCCAGGTGCTGAATGTCAGGAATGAAAGGTTCCCTCAGAGTGAGATGAGGGCACAGATAAATAGAAAGCAACTATAATATCATCTAATGAAGTCTTTGTCCAAGAAAACACAGAATAGAATGCAAAATGATGTTTAAGCTGAGCTCCAAATGATGAATAGGAGGGATGGTGCAGAGGAACCAGAGCATACAGAGCTCAGGAGGTGGTGGAGAACCCACAGGACTTTTAGGGATTGAGGCTGTTCAGTACAGGGATAAACACAGAGCATGAAACAGTAATTGACCAGAGGTAATCAGGGTGATCTGTTTCCAGTAAACCACAGAATATCCTGGAAAATCCTTACCTTTGTAAAACATCTAAAATTGTGGATAGAAATATTTTAAATGCATTCCTGAGTTGGCAAGAAAGTAAGAGAAATCCTCAGAGGCTAAAAAGGGAGGAAAAATGTTGGAGATCTAGAGATACAAACCTGGTCCCTTAGACTTCAGTTTTAATGGTCACCTGACCACTGGAGACAATGACCTGGGCCTGAGTAGCATGGAAAGTTGGACTGGAGACCTCATAAAGACCGTAACCCCAGAGGACTAGCCCTTGTGTGAAAGGGTGAACTAAGAGAAACCTGGGGACACAGCTGGGAAACGTGTCTGTTTTGATTTTAACTCTAGAAGGCGTGGTAAATGTTACCCCGAGAGTTTGTACCCATGTTGGCCCTCACACAACTCTTGTAGTCAAACAACATCTAACCAATAATTTATTTTAACTGACTCCAAATTCTCTCTGGAAGAATGTGCCAGCCATCTCAGCCTTAAAGTAACTTTGGTAGGAAGTTTCACAACCATGAGTTTACAACAAAAACAAAAATCAAGACAAGGAAATAATCTGTAATAAGAGAGACCCACAAAAAAATCCCAAATAGGAGAAACAGAGCCACATAGACTTAGGATTCTGGAATTATGCAACATAAATTGCAAAATAAATGTGTCAAATATAAATAAATTATACGATCATATTGAAAGTTTGAATTAGAAACAAGAAACCATAACAGAGAAAAATTAGAAAAATAACCAAATAGATTGTCAAAAGTAAAAAATAAATAAATAAATAAATAAACAAATAAGATTAAGAAGTCAACAGACAGCTTAAATAGAGGAGTACGTATACCTGAAGAGAGATCTAGTGAGTCAAAAGATAAATAAATTACACAAAATACAAACATATAAAGGGACAAAAAATATGAAGGCGAGGTCCCAAGATATGGAAGATTAGTGATAAAGACCAACATACATGCAGGTAGAATTCTGGGTTACAGAATGGAGGATTAAAACAATATTTTAAGAGATAAGGCCGGAGAACAAGAGATGGGATGAATCCTGAGGCACCTTTTAAGCCATTTTAGAGAATGTAAACTTGATCGTAGGGAATGGGGTGACTGAAATATTTTAATCAGAGAGGAACACAATCCAATTTCCATTTACAATGTCACTTTGGCTGCATTTGGGGGATGGATCAGAGTTGAGAGAAGTAGTCAAACTCCAGGAAAGGAGAGCAGTGGGAGAACTACTGCAGTCACCTAGGACTTGGATTTGAGAGATATTCAGGAGGTAGAATTGGCATAACTGGGGAACCAGTTAGGAGCGAGGGGTCAGGAGTTTTTGCACCAACTTGACCTTCTCTATTAAGTCTCGCTTGTTGTGTTTAAGCACAGTTACTCACTGCCTCCTCAAAAGGTCTTTCTACATGTCTTTTTGTGTATTGATCTCACTGTATTGAAATTGTTCTGTCTGCCTCCTCCACCAGAGCACAAGCTCCTCAAGGTCAGACAACTTATCTTATTAATTTCTGAGGGCTAATCTTTTTCATCTCACTCAGTACATGGCACTGAATCTGGGAGGGGTTCAATGAGTCTTGCCTCGCCCATGTCTATGTGTTAACACTGGCACCTTCACTCTGAAAGTGATGCGTTCAGAGAATAGGCCAGACTCAGATCACAAAGGAATGCCACACAAAGGAGTTGGGACTTCATCCTGTGGTCTGTGGACCCTAAGAGCGGAGCAGAGCCATGGTTAGATCTGTGTTGTTTTGAAATAACCTGAGCAACAATTTGAATGGGGGGAGACTAGGTAATTACAATCGCAAGGAGAGAAAATGAGAGACTGAATCAAGACAGTACAGTGGGAATGAAGACAACAGGGCAGAGCCACAAACTCTTTGGGAGGTTAAATGTCAGGGCTTGACTGAACATTTGGGTGCTGAGGGGTGCCTAGGTGACTCAGTCGGTTAGGCATCTGACTCTTGATTTCAGCTCGGGCCGTGATCTCAGGGTGGTGGAATTGAGCCCTGCATTGGGCTCCGTGCTCAGCAGAATCTGCTTATCCCTCTTCCTCTGCTCCTCCCCCTGCTCTTTCTCTCTCTCAATCTCAAACAATAAATAGACAAAATCTTTTTTTAAAACTTTGGATTTTGAAAATTAAGGAGAAGAATGAATTGGGATGAATCATATTCCTACTTTGGAATCTGGGGGTTCTCTACAACCAGATGAAAATTCAGGAAAGGGAGCAACTTTAGGTTGCTACGGAGTCTACAGGTGTGAGTCACTGTGATTCATGAAAATCACTATAAATGTTCTTCACCACTTGCAAAGGAATGCTGTCTCCACAGAATACCAAGGAGGCACGGTCAAGGAACGTAAATGACTCCGACTTCACACCTTCTGTCTTACAAACACCTTGCCATGAATAGAAGGTTTCTATTTCTGTGTCTGGTTCTTTGGATTACCAAATATTTCCCTGACCCCTCCTTTAGCATGCTAGAGATCTCAAGCCCGGTACACACCCACCAGAGGCACCAAGATACCCAATACTTACTTCTACTTCCTGGCAGAAGGTGGCATTGGGGCCATACTGCAGCTGGCATTGATGGTGGACATCATAGATCACTCCAGGGGCAATAACCTTGGACTTCAAGCCTTTCTTTTGGGGGATGTCATCGAGACAAAACCCCCAGCCCCGGCTGAAAACAAGTTATCAGAAAGGAGAACAATTGCTTATGATTTCCTTCGTCTTTAGTCTTTTATTCAACAGAAACTTCCATCCCTGTGGTTTACTCTTTGTCCTTCAAAACAACTTTATTTCCACAAGGCACAGAACCCTCCAGGCCCAAGATGTAGGAATGGCCTAAAAGGAAATTAAATCATACCCCACACTGTTACTTCAGCTGTGAGCCAGGAAATACAAGCGGGAGAGTAAAATAACACCATCAGAGGGGTTTCAGAGACCACTCGAAACATATCCCAGCTGTTCCTGCCAGTGCCCAGGGACTGACACACTCAGATCATAAAGAGCCTCCCTGAGCAGGAGCAAGCAAGGAGACAGCACGTTCACCTGGTGTAGTGGGAAGGCAGGACCCACCTACATCTCAGGGGTGGAAAGCAGAAGTGAAATCCCCCCCTTTTGATGCCACCCTGATCCGATGACCTGTGAGAGGAACGGAGACTTTTCCAGGCCTCAGGTAAAACTCCAACGGACTTCCAGTTTCAAGAGCGCCAAGTCAGGCCGTCCTGAAACGTGCTGTCACTTACTCCAGGAAGCGGGTGATGTACTCCTTGCTGCACTTGGACCACGTCAGTGGGGTGGGGTTGTACTGGAGCTGGCGGGACATGATGTACGGGTGCCTGCCCACGGGCTCACAGTCATTTTCCTTCCCGTCATGCTGGATGCCGAAGCTGCAGGAAGGCACAAAACACAAGAGTTTTAAGGAGGCGGGGGGCATGAAACGGAGAAAACTACAGTCTCTCCAAGGTGAAAATTACCCACTGAGAGCCACCTTTGTAAACAGGTGCATTACAAAGTGGGACTCCAAGGTTGGAGAGGGATAGCTAATTTTGAACTAAAGAGCACAGGAGACATTTTAAGCCTATGCAACCGTGGGAACCATGCGGCTAATTTAAAAACTTCTGTTTGGCTGAGAGCTCCCAGTTTGGCTTTCTAGGAGTCTGGAGGAAGGAGGGCAAATCCTGCCTCAAGCGACCACAGCACAAAACACCCGAACTTTCCTTCTCCCTTTCATTATCATGTAAGGAAGGGCATGGAAAGGACAGCCTATGAGAGACTTTGTCAAAGGCCACAAGCTTTGAGTGATTGAATTTCTTTTGAGTATTGTCACAGGAGTCCTCCAGGATCGGACGCATTAGGGAGGCCTCCCAGGTCAGTGGTCAGAGCAGGGGTTTCACAGACAGATGATCTGGAGGGTACCAACTCTGCCACTTAATGATGTGGGAGCTCCACTCCTGGAAAATGCAGAGATCATCACAACGCTGGAGTCAGATCTGAATATAAGAGTCTGAAAAACACTTAGCAAGGGCCTGGCATATAACAAGGGCTCTGTGAATAATGGAAATCCTTTATTGCTGTTTTGATCCTTGTCTAGCTTCTTCTAAAACATCACAGAGCTCATGAGTGGTAAAACCAGGTCCTCTGCAGTGTGTGCTGCTCGATCTGCGTTCTTACGCACGTCTTGCTCGCCCTGCTCCCTGGCCTCCCCCTGCCAGGGCTGACCAGGTGAGGCAGCCCTGAACGCCCCGACAGAGCTCGCCCACCATGGCAAGGGGTGCCGGGGAAGGAAGCGGACTCAGAAGTGTCCATTTATAAGCTGAGTCTTCAGGATCGCCCCAAGATACCTGCAGAGGTCCCCACAAGAACTCTCTTCACTGGGATCTGCTGATGGCACACTTGCATCCCAGCACTGTTGGCTCAAACTTCCAAATCTGAACAGAGGGGAAGTATGACCTTTTACTCTGCTAGTGAAATTCAACCCCTCTGACAGGGAAGCTCATATGTAACTTTAATAAAATCTCCCGATCCACATTAGCAACTCTTACAGAGAATAATCTTGGGGGGATTTAAAGGTTTCTTGTATTTTGCTTAATGCAGTATGATGTTATCGACTTACTTCCAGACTCTGATCACATTCCACATAAGTACAAAATTCACAAAGGAATCGGAGAATTAATCTACAAAACTCTTCTCACTCAGCCGCAACGAATGTGACTCAATGAAAGATTTTATTCTAAGCAGGCCTTCCCTAGGCTGTTTCATATCATTCTTACCCAGCTCATGAAGCATTCTACAAGTTCACCTGCTTAATAATTAGTAAAAACCCTAAACTGTAAGCGTGGTTCAAAAATATGCCTGAATAATGGTTTTTCTAGCATTGGATAGTCTAATGCAAGAACCGTGCAGCTGCATCCTACACACTGGGTGGATTCAAACCTATGTTCAAAGCATATCAGTTCCCTTAAAGCTCATTTTGTTCTATCTAAAGTTGTTGTTTTTTTTTAAGATTTATTTACTTATTTGAGCGAGAGAGAGTGTGTGTGCACAGGGTGGGGGGCAGAGGGAGAGAGGGAGAGAGAGAATCTCAAGCAGACTCCCCACTGAGCACGGAGCCTGATCTCATGACCCTGAGATCATGACCTGAGCCAAAACAGAGTCAAAAGCTTAACCAGCGGAGCCACCCAGGGGTTCCTGTTCTATCTAAAGTTTTTAATTCACTAAAGGATTTCCCGCTCCAGCTTTGTCACCCCTCTGTACACCCATGTTATGAGAGAAAAGCAGTGCTACTAACAAGAAATGTCCCCCTGTGCTTGGTCTACCATGTCTAAATGCATGGAGCGCTCCTGTCCCATGAGCACAGTGGGCCAGTGAAAGCACACGGGGTCCTAGGGATGGAAGCTTTGTTTCCAGGAAGCTCCTTTCCAGCAGATGGGATGGAAGCTGAAGAGCAGTTGGCCGTATGGAGCCCTCTATAGTCTCAAACAACTTACTGGGTTGTTGGATTCATCTGTTTACCTCATGTTTGGCTTTCAACTCTTATTAGATGAGTTTGACCAAGTATAGATGTGAAATCGCAAGTTAATTATCTGGGTTTTAGGGTATCATATTCCTTGCCTTTTATTATTCTTTTTTTTTTTATTTGAGTAAAGGTGACACAGTGTTACATTAGTTTCAGGTGTACAACTTAGTGATTTGACAAGTTTACACATTAGGCTCCGGTTCATTGTACGTTTAGCTACTATCTGTCCAGTTACATCACTATTACAGTATCATTGATTGTATTCCTCATGCTGCACCTTTCATTCCTGTGACTTGTGATTCATTTATGGTGGAGAGGTAATAGCAGAGGACAAAAACCATGAAAAGTGTGATTGTGTGCTTTTAAGCTCATTTAGGAAATACCAATTTCATATATGTGACATGCAAAGGTCTCCAATGAAATCCAGAAGCAGGAGAGAAATACTGGGTGAATATTGCCTTTTAAGTGTTCATCTATATCGTGATATTTTCATTACTTAAAAGGAAAGGATGCTAGGTCCAGATAAGTTTTTAAATTTCCTCCTAGAATTCTACCTTCATTTTTGGTAATGTACCTACGCAGCCTAATAAAAAGGTAGTAAGAGACCTCAGGAATAAATGACGGATATAATCCAGGGTCCTCATAAATGGATTTTCAAAAAGTTTTCTCTCAAAAATGAAATTATTCACATAAGGCCATAGCACAAGTTAATTAATTTTACTTTCTATTTTGCATCACACATAATCAGTAATGGAACAAAACATGTTTCCTGGGAACAATGGGGGTCTATGTTATTAAACTATAAGGAGTGTCTTTGGGGATACTGTTTTATCACAGTTTTGTTTTTCTTGACCTGCCACTGGCCATTTCATTGATCTTCCCAGTTTCTCAGTTTGGTCCACAGATAATTAGAGCTATATAGCTAAAGAAAGAACTAAATACCTCAGAAGTATCTTTTGCCAAAAGCAAAAGTTTCTTAGGAAGCTCCTAAAGTCTTCTCTGGTTTGGTTTGTGTTTTACTAAAGCATTTTTTTCCATCATTCAAACTCAAGCTTATGTGTTCTTTCAACTTTCTCTTTAACAGTGACTCTAAACTTTTTTTTTGTCAATTAAAAGACAGTGTTTTAATGCAAATCAAAAGCACCATGAGATACCACCTCACTTCTGTCAGAATGGCTAAAAAAAAAAAAGAAATAATAAGTGTTGGTGAGAATGTAGGGAAAAAGGAACCCTCATGCACATAAATCAGTACAGCCTCTGTGAAAAACAGCATGGAGGTTCTTCAAAAACTTAACAATAGAAATACCGTATGATTCAGTAATTCCCCTACTGGGTATTTACCCAAAGGAAATGAAAACACTAATTCAAAAAAGATATATGTCCCCCATATTTACTGCAGCATTATTTACCATAGTCAAGATATGGAAGCAACCTAAGTGTCCATCGATAGATGAATGGATGAAGAAGACGTGGGGTGTGTGTGTGTGTGTGTATACATACACATATATATATATATATATATGTATATATATATATATATATATATATGATGGGCTATTATTACTCAGCCATAAATAGAATGAGATCATGCCATTTGCAACAACATGGATAGAGTAGAGGGCATTATGCTAAGTGAAATAAGTCAGACAAATACCATATGATTTCACTCATATGTGGAATCTGAAAAAGCAAATGAGTAAACAGACAAAAAGCAAAATCAGATGTGTAAATACAGAGAACAAACTGGAGGTTGCCAGAGGGGTGGGGGTGGTCAAAATGGGCAAAGGGGAGTGGCAGATACAGGCTTCCAGTTACGGAATGAATAAGCCACGGGAATAAAAGGCACAACACCTGAATATAGTCAATGATAGCGTGATAGGGTTGTGTGGTGACAGATACACTACACTTGTGAGCACAGCATAACTTATAGAGAAGTTGAATCACTATATTGTATATATGAAACTATATTGTATACCCAGAAAATGTAACATTGTGTGTCACCTACACTCAAAAAAATTTTAGTAAAAAAAATAAATGACAGTATTTTATTAGGTCATCTTTACATGGCCCATATAGTAGTTAGAGGTTTACTATTTAAAAAACTGACAACCTGTTCTCTATAGAGCCTAAACCACCTTACTTTCTCATCAGCAATGTATGAATGATCCAGCTCCTCTGCAACCTTGTCAGCATTTGATGTCATCACTATTTTTTTAGTCATTCTGATTGGTGTGTAGCAATATTTCATTGTGGTCTTAATCTGCATTTCCCTGATGGCGAATAATGTTGAATATATTTTCAAGTGCTTATTTGCCATTTATATATCCTTTTTGATGAAATTTTGGTGAAATTTGGTGAAATGGTCTTCTGCCCATTTTCGAATTACTGTTTGTTTTGTTACTATTGAATTTTGTTAGCTGCTTATATATTTTAGATGCTAGTCCTACTGAATATATGGTGTATTTGTTTCCTAGGACTGCCATAAAAATTTACCGTAAGTTCGGTGGCTTAAAATAACAGGAACTTATTCTCTCACGGTCCTGGAGGACAGAAGTCTGAAATCAGGAGGTCAGTAGTACTATGAACACTTCAAAGGCTCCAAGGGAGAATCTGTGCTTGCCTCTTCCAGCTCTGCTGACTGCAGGTTTCCTTGACTTGTAGCAACAAGACTTGAACTTCTGCCTCCAACTGTGCATGGTCTTCTCTTTGATCTTTCTGTGTCCACATCTCCCTTTCCAGTCATTGCGTTTAGGGCCCAGCCTGAATCTAGGGTGATTTCATCTCAAAATTATTAATTATTAACAACTGCAAAGACCCTATTTCCAAAACAGATTACATTCTGAAGTTCCAAGTAGCCTTGAATTAGTGAAGGGGAACACTGCTCAAGCCACTACATAGGGTTTGCAAATATTTTCTCTCAGGCTGTGGCTTGTCTAAATTTTCTAATTTTGATGAGTCCAATTTTTTAATGTTTCCATTTATGGACTGCACGTTTGAGGTCAAGTTTAGAAACTCTTTGCCTAACCCTAGATACTGAAAATTTTCTCCTATTTATGTCCTAAAAGTTTTTAGTTTTACATTTTACATTTAAGTCTGTGTTCTACTTCAAGATAATTTTTGCATATGGTGTGAAGCTTAAGTAGAGGGTCTTTTTATATTTTTCAAATTTTTGCCTACGAATGTCCAATTGCTTCAGAACCCTTTCTTAAACAGGCTACCTTTCCTCCACTGAATTGTTTTTATACGTTTGTGAAGAAATCAGTTGGATATATTTGTTTTGCACTATTTTTGCATTCTCTGGTTGATTCCATTGATCTTTGTGTCTCTCCCTCCACCCAAACCACACAATCTTGGTTACCGAAGCTGTATAATAAATTTTGAAGTTTTGTAGACTGATTCTTCCCATTTTATCATTCTTTTTCAAACTGTTTTGAAAACTTATTCTAATTCCTTTGCCTTTCCCTATACATTTTAGAATAACTTTTCTATATTTCAAAAACAATCCTGCTGGAATTTTGGTAGAAATATCATTAAACCTATATATTTATTTCAGGAGAATTCCATCTTGACCATGTTGAGTCTTCCAGTTCAGGAACACAGTATGTTTCTCCGTTTATTCAGATCTCTGATTCTTTCCTCAGTGTTTTGTAGTTTTCAGCATACAAGTCCTGTACATGTTTTGTTAGACTTAAAAGTATATAATAATTATATGTAAAAATTTCATACTTTTGAGTGATCGTGAAAGGTGGTACTACATTTTTAATTTCAGTGTCCACCTGTTCATTGACAGTATATAAAAATGTGATTGATTTTTGTATGATTATATTGTACCCTGTGAGCTTATTTGTTCTAGTTTGTGTGTTTGCACACATTCTTTGGGATTTTCTATAGATACAATTATATTATCTGCAAATAAGGCTAGTTTTACACCTTTCTAATCTATATGTCTTTTTTTTTTTCCTCATCTTATTGCACAGGCTAAAACTGTACTCTTTTTTTCTTTGTGGTCTTTAGACTTGATCATTTTCATTGTCCTATCTTCAAGTTCATTGGTTCTTATTCTGTCTGCTCAAACCTGCCAATGATTCCCTCTAGTTAATTTTTTTATTATAGTGATTGTACTTTTTAGCTTCAAAATTTCATCCTGGTTTCTTTTTAGATTTTCTATCTCTTTATTGATATTCTCATTTTGTTCATACAACATTTTCTTGATTTTCTCCACATCTTCTTTAGTTCTTTGAGCATCTTTAAGGCAGTTGTTTTAAAATCTTTGTGTAATAAATCTGCCATCAGAAATAATTTCTGTTGATTTATTTTTTCCTTTGAATGGGTCATACTTTCCTGGTTCTTCGTATGTTTTATGATTTGTGTGTGTGTGGAAAAATGGACATTTGAGTCTATTAATGTGTTAACTCTGGAAATAAGGTTCTTCCTCTTCCCTAGGGTTTGCTGTTTTTATTGTTATATCATCATCATCATCATCATCATCATCATCATTATAGGCTGTGTTTGTGCCAAGAATCAACCTCAGGTAAAAACTTAAGGTCTTCTCAGGTCTTTTCTGAGTCTTTACTTGGGCCTATGTGGTTACTTTCTAATCTTCCCCATATACGCAATTACTTTTAGAAAGTCCTATTCTTTATTGTCTGGCTCCCCAAAGGGGAAAAGGATAAAAATGAAGGGCGGGGAAGGGTGCTCTGGAAATCACTCCAGTTAAAGGGGGTAAGGGTCTTGCAACAACATGGAGAGGTGCAAAAATGACGGCTGTCCACAACTTTGTCTTTACCTGTATGATCAGAAGCAGTCATCAGCAATGAGAGCACAGATCCTTGACATTTAGGGGACAAATATCAAAATATCAAATCAATTCAGGTAGTGACTCACTTCTACTCTGTTACATAATCTACCACTTCTGATGACCAGTAAACATCTACAACTCTTTGTTTTCAAGAATTCAGGGAAATTGTGCTGGAGTAATGTTACCAAGGGGTTGTCACCCTTATTGGAGAATTTCTAAACTCTGAAAGGTGGATCATACTTGCCCTTGGCTTTATGGCCGTGGCTTTGTGGCCTTCCTCACAAAGATGGTAAGTCCATGTCCAGATAACCATGCCAATGATTGTGTCAAAAATTGGAGCAACTCTGATTTTGTAGAACCTGCTTAACATATTTCTGAATCCTTTTATAAAGCCAGATTAAGTTGAAGATATAAGGAATCCATTCTTTGAACACTGGCAATGAGCATTTGAGAGCATCTTTTATCAAGTCTTCTCAATTTTTCTTTACCTTGAGTATATCACTGCTGGGAAGATCTTGAGCAGTCATTTCTCAGTTTGACTTAGCTATATTCATTTGCATTGCTTAGCCAGCAGGTGCTACTGACACCAAAGACTTGACTGGAGGCTGCAGGGGACATATCCCTCCACATATCAGGATGGAGGATGCCTATACGTTTGCACATGAGAATAGCTTTCATTTTATCAAGTTTTATTATCGGCGTGCCAACAACTACAGCCTAGTCTTTTCAATACCTAGCCTTCTGTCTCCCATCATTAATTACCTGTATAAGCAAGTCACTTAACCTCTTTGTCTTTACATTTCTGATGACTAAGGATACTAAAACATATCACATTTATCTCCCAGGGCTTTTTGGTAAGAATAATAAAAAAAATGACAATACCTAAGAAATTGCCTTAGTTCAACCTACTCACTTCACAGATGAGGCAGCAAGTGAGGAGAGGTGAAGGGAATTATCTAAGGTGATAATAGTGGCTGATGGAAAAGCCAGAGTAAGCACTCACTTTTCCCAACTCCCAAGCCAATACTCTAGTTTTGTCATGCAGGTGAAAGTATTTTGAAAACTTCCAGTGTTACATGAGAAAAATGATGCCCAGACCAGGGAGGCCAGGCCTGGAATATCCAATCTCCAGGGCTCTTTCCAATCCCAACTCTTTCCAACCTGTACACTCAAAGTATGTCATGGGGTTCTGCTTCCTTCCTTCATGGGAGGAAATCCAGCCTGGTGGCTACACGAAAGGGAAGGGGTATAGCTGAGTCATTCACATGGCTCCCTACTCTGAGCTTCTAATTAGTATGATCTCTTATTTGTTGTTAGTAAATATACCAACAAATTAAGTTATAAATAAGCTAATACCTTTCCTCTGATACCTGGAAAATCCAGAATCCTCATTATCTCTTCACTCAAAACATTCTGCAACCTGCCTTCCATGAATTCATCTAATCAAATTCACACATTATTGAGACAAATGCACCTCCTGTTAACGGACATTTGCTTGATGGTCTTTTCCGATTGATGGCAGTTTTAAATTTCTGCTTTATTCAATGAGTTCCTTTAATCCATATAAGTAAAATGGGGCTAACAATAGTATCTGTTTCATAAGGTTGTTGAGAGGATTCAATGACCCAACATAAAGTGGATGACATAGAGTAAAGGTGCAAAAATGTTAATGTTTGTGACTTTTTAGCGATATTAATATTATTACTATTTCGTAAGAACTAAACAGGGATTGTTGTTTCTGAATTAATCAGGTGAGTTAAAGCTTATGTCCTTGTCTGTGCTCAACTTATTCTAATTCAGCAAACTGTAGTAGCCTCTTTGATTCTGCGATGTAGACAGGCACAGGTGGCCAGGGAATAAAAGACACTGAAATCTCTGAAGTTCATCATGATCCCCACTTTACAGGTGAGGAAGCAGAGGTTTAGGAGGGTGAGTCTCAAGACACAATGCAACCCAACTCCTGATGCCCCATTTAAGGTGCTTTCCCTTCTCTCTACCAACGTGGTGCATAAACATGGCAAGGAGATCCCCGTTTCCTTGGCCCTTTACCTGTGTCCGAGCTCATGGGCAATTGTGAAAGCCAGAGGGAGTCCAGAGTCTTCATTGATGTTACAACTCCGGTGAGGTTGGCACATTCCCGACAGGTGGGACAGACCCAAAGTCTCACAGGGGCGATTGACACCAGCACAGATGTCTTTTCTGGAAGCAGAGAACAGAGATGCATAGGCTCCCAAAGAAACATCTGAAAAAAACCCTTCTGGAAAAAATATGGGTAGTAATTCACATTCGATGTGGTCCGGGAAGCATGAATCAAATTGTTTTTAAAAGTCCATATGAATATAGCGGGGCAATTCTGAATTCATTAGATTATTCTGATTTCACCTCTTAATTACTGAATCTCACTAACACTTAAAAAATGTGCGAAAATATGACAAATGTTTTATTCTGAGTTGCTTCTGCCCTTAATCCCAGGAGGCCAAATTACACTGTTTGGACCAAAAGACAAGGATTTGATGGAAAATTAAAGATTATTTGAACTTTTATATAGAGAAAGGACAACCAGCAGTGGCTGAAGGTGTTCAAATATGAAACCCCTTTTTGGTCTTTCTGAGGTCTGTGCTCAAAATTCATCTGAGAACTTTTGCTTATTCATGAAAAAGGCAATTGGTCTCATCAATCCATCCGGAGCTCAAATCAGTTGTCTCTCCAGCCCCACTACCCTAACAACATTGCATATGGGAGGGAAATGCACATGCAAAAAAAGACTCCTGGGATCTCAAAAAATACTGGATATAGTCCTTAAATGTAAAATGTGCTCCCATATGTTTGTGGGGATTATTTCAGTCATTGATAAGAGTTAACTAGTCCTTTGGTTTTCTTCAAGAAGAGCTCTCTGCCGAGAATAAGTAACACAAACGCCAACAAGGCTCTGAGCTTCAGTTAGTTACAGACCTTCAACTCACCGGGCAACACATGGTCTGTTTTTTTGTTTCCACTGGGCCACGGAAAAGATCGAGCCTCTGAAAACTCCTGTGAGTCCTCAGTCGTCCAGGAGACAATGGTCGGGACAGTGGGAGAGGACAGAGGGCAGCCCCCATCTCAGGGCATGCCAGCTGGTCTGGTCTCCACGTTAATAGCAATGGTTGCTGGGCGGTTTGGTGTTGGAGAGCTGGACTGGATCATGCAGCCCAATCATTCTAAATAATTGCTGGGTCTGTGGGAGGACCAAGCAAACGCTGTACTGCCCCTACTGCAACATGTACTTGTCACTATTTCTTTTTTTTTTTTTTAAGTCTAGGCCCGCATGGAGCTGCTGGGAAAAGATGATTGGTGTCTCCTGCTAACCCACTGGTTTTCTCATTGTGATGGGACAGGAGTCAGGTCCATTAATTAATTGTTTGCTGAGTGCCTACTATGTATCCAGCACTAAAGAGGACAAAAGGGGGTAATAAAAGAAATGTATAGGAATGTGAGTCTTCCAGGGCAGGAGTTTACGCTCCCCAAAGCAGATTAGCTCTACCTCTACCACACGCTGGGAGCAGGATAAGAGAAAATACGCCCTGGTATGCAGCTACGGGTCCCACTTCATTAGGTACATTCAAGCCAAATATACTTTCTCCTCAATGCAACTCTGCAGAAAGCCTGTGGAAGTGAATCTCATCCCAGGCCTCCAGAGGCAAGTCTTATACCTCCCTCCCTGGTCCGGCTGGTTTCTTCAGAACAGAGGTTCCCAGAAGGGGTTGATTTGGCTCCCCACCCACTCCTAGAGGACATGTGGCAGTGTCTGGAGACTGTTTTGGTTGTCACACTTGGAGGAGGGTGCTACTGGCATCTTCTGGACAGAGGCTTCCACGCACAGGACAGCCCTTCACAACAAAGAATTAACCGACCCAAAATGTCTGTGATGCCAAGGGTGAGAAATCCTGTTTTCGAATTTGAAATACCCTCCACTGTTTAGGAGCTGGTGAGGTTCATCATACAGTGAAACCAGGCCCTTGTTCCAAAGAAGAAAAATTATCATAATAATAAGAGAGCAGATCCTTCATATCTTTATGGGTAAGAGTTAAGAGTATAAACTATTAGGGTCCAACTGCCTGGATTTAAGTCCCAGTTGCACCTGTTACCAGCAATGAGATTTGGGGCAAGTGACCTAACCAAACCTCAGTTTCACCCTCTGTAAAATGGGAATGGCTGATGGCAGTCAACGACCAGGGTTGCTGTGGAGGTTAAATGGAATGATGCTTGTTCTAACAGATGTAGCACAGTGCTACATCAAACACTCCCCAAATGCCAGCTCTTATCAACTCACTCATTTCTTCATGTGAGAAGGAGAGAAGAAATGATTTGTGCTTTCAGGGCAAGAAGAGAGGTGGAGCTGACACAGCTTCCAGCGGTGGCCCCAAAGCCAGGGTTATTCCCTACAGATAAGTCCTGCCTCGACTGAGCTCTTTTCCTGGCTTCTTGCCCAGGTCCTCAGGGTTTCCTGCCCGCTTGCTCGCTCCCCAGAGCCCCTGTGCTTACATTCCCTACTCACATTAACCTACCTCCCAGGGGAACTACTGATGTCACAGGTCCCAATATGAGCCTAATGTAATAGGTTTATGTCACAGACTTCCTTTGGAAATTGTTGGCATTCAACCAACACTTTGATACTTTCACTCAAAAGAAGGATTCTGATGGTTGGAGTGAAGGCCGGTTATCATCCTTTGCAGGCCGTCACGTGCACTGGGATACCAAAGGGACAGATGACAGGCCAAAATGTTCAGGAGCAGCCTGTCCCCCCAGGGAGAACATACACACAGGACCTTCCAGCGCCTGAGGTTCTCGGTGGCTGAAAAGCCAGGACAAGTGGCCTCTTCGAGGACACGTTCCTGGATTTCTTGATGTCTCTGAATCTGCACAGGGGTTCCCCATGAGAACTTACCTCCCCCATGAATGAAAGACCTTCATTTGTCTGGATTAAAATAGTGTTTGGTACACAGGAGGTATTCAACAAACATTTACTGAATCAATGAGCACACATAGCCTCCCTGAGCCTGGGTTGATCAGAAAAGTTCATTAGCCTTTCACAGCTATGAGTCCTAAAAGGTTGATGGTTTTTGTTAGCACCATAGGGTTTATCTGTAATCAGAACAAAATATTGTCTTCATGGGGGTAAAGGGAGACAAGTGTAAGCAAACAGCTCTGCCTATTCAGGGTGGGGACCTGCTGCCTATATTCTGTCTTCAACATCAGTCAGGGATAGGTTACCAGGAGGACTGATTTCTGTAGAGATAGTTGTATGTTTCTAAACTGGAGGAAAATGTTTGAAAATAAAAGAAAGGATAGGAAATCTCATGCTTAAGAGTTACAGTAGTCTTTAATGAGGATCTGCAAACATCTTCCTGATTGTTTATGGAGCTGCATGAAAAAGCCAATTTTAAAGATGAAATCATCGTTGGGATAGGAAAAAGCCCTGCAATTTGCCCGCAGATGCAGTTTATCATGGAGAGTTTTGCTACACACGTTTACTAACTGCCCCCTCACTGGTATGGGCATTGGGAGTCATCTGGTCACAGAAGCTACCTTTAAAAATGACTGAAAGCAGCAAAGAGTAGGCGATAATGCATAAGTCTGAATATGGGATAACTCTTTCACCCACTAGCCCCCCTATTTGCAGCCCCTGGCTTCCACGTAGTCCCCGGGGTACCTGGTGAGGAGGACAGCCACATCATGATGGGCCGGGTTGAGGTCACTCTTTGGATTGATGCTTTTCTGCCACTTACAGAAGCTGGACAGTGTCTTCTCTGCATGGTGGACGATTTTCAATCCTTGCTAGAGAAAGAAGAGGAAGAGACAGGCACAGCTGAGCTTCCCATGCTCAGGTCTCATCACACAAGTCCTCGGAAGCAGCCAGATGTGATGCGCTCTGGGTGGGTGCCTCAGACATCTATTTGGCAGGAGTTTGGCAGAGGGAAACTTACTCCCTGCTCTCAACACCATTACCCTCATGACTTTTATTAAAAGAACCTGAAGTCTGATTGCTGTTGCTAGGACTTGTAGTACTAGGTTGAATAATAGTGGCGAGAGTGGGCATCTTTGACATGTTCCTGATCTTAAGGGAAAGGCTCTCAGCTTTTCCCCATTGAAGATAATATTTGCTGTGGGTTTTTCATAGACGGATTTTATGAACTTGAGGAATGTTCCCTCTATCCCTATACTGTGAAGAGTTTTAATCAGGAAAGGATGCTGTGTTTTGTCAAATGCTTTTTCTGCATCAATTGAGAGGACCATATGGTTCTTCTCTCTCCTCTTATGTTCTATCACATTGATTTGCGAATGTTGAACCATCCTTGCATTCTGGGACTAAAATCCCACTTGGTCATGGTGGATGATCCTTTTAATGTATTGTTGGATCCTATTAGCTAGGATTTTGTTGGTGATTTTGGAATCCATATTCATCAGGGAGATCGCTCTGAAATTCTCCTTTTTGATGGGGTCTTTGCCTGGTTTGGGGATTAAGGTAATACTGGCCTCATAGAGATTCCTCAAAAAATTAAAAATAGAGCTACGCTATGACCCAGCAATTGCACTACTGGGTATTTACCCCAAAGACACAGATGTAGTGAAAAGAAGGGCCATATGCACCCCAATGTTCATAGCAGCAACGTCCACAATAGCCAAACTGTGGAAAGAGCAGAGATGCCCTTCAGCAGACGAATGGATAAAGAAGATGTGGTCCATATAGACAATGGAGTATTACTCAGCCATCAGAAAGGATGAATACCCAACTTTTACATCAACATGGATGGGGCTGGAGGGGATGATGCTAAGTGAAATAAGTCAAGCAGAGAAAGTCTATTATCATATGGTTTCACTTATTTGTGGAGCAGAAGGAAAAGCATGGAGGACATTAGGAGAAGGAAGGGAAACATGAAGGGGGGAAATCGGAGGGAGAGACGAACCATGAGAGACTATGGACTCCGAGAAACAAACGGAGGGTTTTAGAGGGGAGGGGGGTCAGGGGATGGGTTAGCCTGGTGATGGGTATTAAGGAGGGCACGTACTGCATGGAGCACTGGGTGTTATACGAAAACAATAAATTGTGGATCACTACATCAAAAACTGGTGATGTGCTGTATGGTGACTCACATAACCTAATAAAATAAAATTTTAAAAATAAAAGAACCTGAAGGACAGAAGTGCAGGATAGAAATTATCACTGGAACAAGTAGCCCTTGAAGAAAAATTAAAAATACATTGGCCAAGACCAACAGCTGTTCGAAGTTCCGTCTCTAGCAGCTCTCTGCTTCCTAAGCCAATACAATTCCAGAGAGGCATTTGTATTTCTAATTAAAAAAAATATATATTTTCAACAACAAGCTTCTTCCTTGCATGAGATCTCCTACAAGGCTGGGGTTGCACTCAGTGTTTCCTTGCCCATGGCTTCCATTTTGGTCTCACATCTGTGGGTGAAGGGCAGAGGGTGACATAATCTCTCCGGGCTTCTAACCCGTTAGGATCCCTGGTTGTCTGACAACAATTAGGATGCTGCGGTGGACATCTCCAGCCTGCAACTCCCAGGGCTCCTGAGTCACCCACTTGGCCACAGTTATAACTAGCGATGAAAGGAGAAGACATGTTCCAAATTAACTGCTGAACATCCGTCAAAGGAGGGAGAGGGATGATCAGCTCTAGGGGGACTCCAGCTTCATTTGAATTTCTAAAGGAGATACTCTTTTCACTTGCCCCATTTCTTTGGGGTCTCTCTATGGAGCTGTCCCTCATACAGGGTGGGTTCTACCTGGAGAATGACTACATCCACTGGCCCAATCTAATCTGAGTCTGTCACTCCGGCCTCAAACCAAGGAGTTCAGGACAATCTCTATGTGAAACTATGAACCTGCTTCTGTCTCATTCTGTATTTTGCTAAGGCCCACACCCCAAACAAACAAGACCCGAGAGGCTTCAGATGCCTATTAAAGGCACTTACAGGTCCCCCTCCTGCATGTTAATGAACCACCACAGACCACCTGCCTTTTACAAAAACACAAAAAGGTGGCTCATCATCACTCATGAAAACTCACCGAACTGCTGAGCATTATGAATTTAAATAGAATCAACAGACTTCACTATTTACTAATCCTCACTGTTTCATCATCCAGCAGAACGCTAGATGGTGGAGGAGGAAGAGGAGTTGTGGGGGGACTAGCCGGGCACAGGGGTCAGCCTCCTGTTCATCTCGTCAAGCGTAGTTAGAGTAATAGCCCTACCAGAGCCAACAGTCCCCACCCACCATAAAGAACTGGCAAGGGGCATAAAACAGGCATGGGAGGAAAGAGAAAGGAAAGGAAAGGAAGGAAAGAGAAGTAAATACAAAGGGAGTGAAGAAGGAAGGGAAAGGAAGGCAGTATTTCTTGATCATTTACTATGTGCCAGATACTTTCACATATATTCTTTCACTTAATTTAACTGCATCTTCCTGGCATTATTTCTAAAGAAAGCACTGTTATTTTCATGTTAAAATAAGAAGGAATTAAACCTCAGAGAAGTGAGAAGCTAGCTGAAGGTGATTCAGGCCAGATATTGAATCAAAGGCTCCAAGAACAAAGGCTCCTGGGAGAAGCATGCCTCCGGTGGGTAGCCAGCTTCATCAGGAGCCCGCCTCAGTTACAGCTCTTTCACACAGGAAGGCAGATCAGCAAACAAAGCGTCAACGGCGATTCGATTGTTTTGCGGTCTGTTTTCAACCCTACATCTCTTTGTTTGGTTGTGGGCTTTTGTTGTTTTATGTGTGTGAGTGAGGAAGTCTCTGAGAGAATACTCATGAATTAAAAAATAATACCATCTAGAATTATCCCAAAGAAAAAGAAATCCTTAGGCATAAGTCTAACAGAACAGGTGCAAGATCTGTATCGGGAAAATTACCAAATGCTGATGAAAGACGGGATCCTCAGTCTGAACTTCATACCTTACACAAATACTGACTCAGAATGGATCATAGATTTAAATGTAAAATGTAAAACTATAAAGCTTTTAGAAAAAAATCATAGGAGAAAATCTTGGGGACCTGGGGCTAGACAAAGAGTTCACAGACTTTACAGTAAGGACATGATCTATATAAGGGGAAACTGAAAAATTGGGCCCCGTTCAAAATTCAAAACTTTTCCTCTGAGAGAAACCTTCAAAGACAATGAAAAGATGATTCCAGAATGGAGGGCAATCTCTGTAAGACAAAGGACTCGGATCCAGAATACATAAAGATCTCTCAAAACTCAACAATAAAAACAACAAGAAAATAAGCAAACACGAAGTTTCTTCTCACCAAGGAGGATGGACAGATGACAAATAAGTATGTGAAGACGGGTTCAACATCCTTCGCCATCAGAGAATTGCAAGTTAAGACCACCGTGACCTATTACTACAGACATATCAGAATGAAGGCAACGAAAGACAGCGGCAGCACCCAAACAGTGGGGAGGACGGATGTGCTAAGCTGGTCGCTGGGACCAGGGCTGGTGAGGAAGGAAACGGGTACAGTCACTGCCGACATCGCTTGACAGTTTCTTTAAAATACGGAACAGGGGTTGCCATGATCTTGGGGTCCTGGGATCAAGCTCTGCATTGGGCTCCCTGTCCAGTGGGGAGCCTGCCTCTCCCTCTCCTTTTCCTCCTCCCCCTGCTCGTACTCTCTCCCTCTTTCTCAAATAAATAAAATATTTTAAAAATAAAATAAAATAAAGTAAAATGGAACAAATGCTTAAAGACACAGAATTTGGATGTTTCTTGAAGGAATTATGTTGAATGAAAACAATCCAGTCTCAAGAGATCACATACTCTATGATTTCACCTGTACACCATTCTTGAAAGGACACAATTACATAGAGAACAGACTAGCGCTTTCCAGGGGTTAGGCTGGTAGGCAGAAGGGAGGTACAAAAGGGTAGCATGAGGGGACTTGGTGATGAAACTGTTCTGTATTGCAGCAATAGTCACATAAATCTGTATGTATTAAAACTGCATAGAATGAAATGTACATACACACACACACACACACACACACACACACACACACACACCTCAATCAGTGCTGGTAAAACTGATGTGAAATCTCAATAAGGTAAGGGTCTCTACAAATATTAACTTTTCAGTTATGATATTGTACTACAGTTACGCCAGATGTTACCACCAGAAGATGGGGGAAGGATATAAGGGAACTCCTTGCACTATTTCTTTCAACTGCATGTGACTCTATAATTATTTCAAAACAAAAATACTTCTAAAATATCTTAAAAATAATAACTGGTCTGAATTAAGGCTCAAGGGTTGCAATAGAAAATCTTACACTGTACTTCTCAGTATGATTCTATGTGGGTTACTTACTACTTAATTTTATGTGAAATCCCATAGTTTTGAATCAAAGGGAAGCTTTCAATGGGTGACAGTGGGTAAGAAGAGCCCACACACTCAAATACTCACATACCCATACACTTCACACTCTCACACACCCACACAAAGGGTCAATTAAGCTCCCTGTCTAAATAGCCATAAATAGACAAACTTATTAGAGTTAAGGTGACCACACAGGTAGAGGCAGAGGGACCTTATTTTAGAATGTTCTTCATTGACTCACAAAGTCCCTGGTCAGGGCACACAGCTCAAGATGGGATGCTACCGGATCAGAAAAGCTCAATTTTTGCTTCGATATTGGCTGGACTCGCCATTTTGTAGGACTTACATATCAATCCATGAATGTTTGTTTAAAGAAAAGTGAATGTTTACAAACTTCCACTCTCTCCAGGACCTGAGCCAAATTCAGTGTCAGCAAGGACACC